TCGGCTCTCTGATGGATTTTCTCTCTGAAGATTTGTCCTGCAGCGAAGAGTCTAAGTATTAATTGTGATGTGATAGATTCTGAGTAGTGATATATTTAAGTATTATAAAACATAACTGAAGTTTTACTTTTTAGCTACGACACCGATAAATTTCTGAATGGAGTATCAATTTCTGATAGATTCTTTTCAGCCATCCTACTTGTTTTAAGTATTCATTATCAGCTTTATTAATTTTTACTAATAAAGACATTACCTAATTGATGGCAATTAAAAGTAATTATTCTATAAAAGAAGTCATGCACAAGATATAAAGTATTTGAAGCAATACAGAAAGTTGATGAAATGTTGAAGTCATCATTTGTCTCCCCATTTCCCCTCATTTAGAAGGTCTTCACCAAATTTTTCTTTTTTTTTTTAATGTATCCCTGAATTGCTTTTTTTTTTTTTTTTTTTTATTTGACAGAGAGAGATACAGTGAGAGAGGGAACACAAGCAGGGGGAGTGGGAGAGGGAGAAGCAGGCTTCCCGCGGAGCAGGGAGCCCAATGCGGGGCTCGATCCCAGGACCCTGGGATCATGACCCAAGCCGAAGGCAGACACTCAACGACTGAGCCACCCAGGTGCCCCCCTGAATTGCTTTTAATTTAGAGAACTTTCCATTTCTCCTTTTGTAATTTTAAGATGCTATGATCATATGGTTCTTTCCAAACTCGGGATGACCACATCAAAGCCTTTGTTCAAGAGATGTATCCTGATTGTGGTTAAAGCAAGCTGATTGTTCTGTGAGCACCCTCTTCTGGGCATTGTTCAGAATCAAAGAACAAGAGATTCTTAAGCACATGGCATGCTGATCACTCTTCAAGTTTTCAGAGAATTGAGACAGTACAAATAAAATACTGGATTTTTGAGAGGGGTGACAGAAGGGTCTAGAATATAGGGTAGATAGAAACTTTTCAGAATCTTGAATTGTTACTTCCAAATGATTAAAGCTGAATTTTAATAAGTAAACAAATTAGGTTCTGTGGAGAGACAAATAATACTGTTGGCTTTGTGTTGTTTGTTACCTGAAAAGCCAACTCTCCCTGCTCTGTGAGTTTTCCCTAACATTTCAAATGATGACTTTCTAGGCACACTTTGCCTCATTCCTACGCAGATGGAGAGCAGTTCTGCATTCTGCATCCTGTTCTTCAAGGCCAGCTTCCTTTAGAATCCTTTGGACAATTTGGCTTTAACTTGGCCCATTTTAAGATTTAATTTCATACTTCAAGTATTTTTGCAAAAGTGATTTACATTTTTACCTGTGCTAAAAGTCCGGTGTGCTACCCATTGCACCATAGAGCCTGCAGTGCGTTCCAAGGAGATTTACAAGGAGAAAAAAAAGACAGTTATGAGTTGTACAGATAAAAGTAGTGAATTTAAAACCTGACATAACAGGGCACCTGGATGGCTCAGTCGTTAAACGTCTGACTCTTGGTTTTGGCTCAGGTCATGATCTCAGATTGAGCCCTGCATGGGGCTCTGTGCTGGGTGTGGAGCCTGCTTAAGATTCTCTCTCCCTCTCCCTCTGTTCCTTCCCCCCACTCCCCCGAGCATGTGTGCACTCTCTCACTCTCTAAAAAAAGAAAAGAAAAGTAAACGAAAAATCTTCAAAATGTGTGTGAATAAATAAGGAATTTATCAGTAAATAAGGAATAAATAAGTAGTGGCAAGATAGGTAAGAGTCACCTTTTTGGTTAACCACTTGACCAACTCCTCATGTCTCATGCTAGCTTTTGGTGTTTCCCCCTTTCTTCATTACAAGTATGGGATACTGGGTTTTTATTTCCAAATTATTTTTATTTATTTTCTTATTCTTATGTTAATCCCCATACATTACATCATTAGTTTTAGATGTAGTTTCCATGATTCATTGTTTGTGCATAACACCCAGTGCTCCATGCAGAATGTGCCCTCCTCAATACCCATCACCAGGCTAACCCATCCTCCCACCCCCCTCCCCTCTAGAACCCTCAGTTTGTTTTTCAGAGTCCATCGTCTCTCATGGTTCGTCTACCCCTCCGATTTCCCCCCCTTCATTCTTCCCCTCCTGCTACCTTCTTCTTCTTCTTCTTTTTTTTTTTCTTAACATATATTGCATTATTTGTTTCAGAGGTACAGATCTGAGATTCAATAGTCTTGCACAATTCACAGTGCTTACCAGAGCACATACCCTCCCCAGTGTCTATCACCCAGTCACCCCATCCCTCCCACCCCACCCCCCCACTCCAGCAACCCTCAGTTTGTTTCCTGCGATTAAGAATTCCTCATATCAGTGAGGTCATATGATACATGTCTTTCTCTGTTTGACTTACTTCGTTCAACATAATACCCTCCAGTTCCATCCACGTCATTGCAAATGGCAAGATCTCATTCCTTTTGATGGCTGCATAATATTCCATTGTATATATATACCACTTCTTTTTTTTTTTTTAAAGATTTTATTTATTTATTTGCGAGAGAGAACGAGAGACAGAGAGCACGAGAGGGAGGAGGGTCAGAGGGAGAAGCAGACCCCCCGCTGAGCAGGGAGCCCGACGCGGGACTCGATCCCGGGACTCCAGGATCATGACCTGAGCCGAAGGCAGTCGCCTAACCGACTGAGCCACCCAGGCGCCCTATACCACATCTTCTTTATCCATTCATCTGTCGATGGACATCTTGGCTCTTTCCACAGTTTGGCTATTGTGGACATTGCTGCTATAAACATCGGGGTGCACGTACCCTTTCGGATCCCTACTTTTGTATCTTTGGGGTAAATACCCAGTAGTGCAATTGCTGGATCATATGGTAGCTCTATTTTCAACTTTTTGAGGAACCTCCATACTGTTTTCCAGAGTGGCTGCACCAGCTTGCATTCCCACCAACAGTGTAGGAGGGTTCCCCTTTCTCCGCATCCCTACCATCTGTCGTTTCCTGACTTGTTAATTTTAGCCATTCTGACTGGTGTGAGGTGGGGATACTGGGTTTTTTTTAATACTTGTCAGCTGCCAACATCCTTATTATAGCTCACTCTTGTTTAGATCAGCTGACTTGATGTTTTCGAGTCAAGGGATATGAAAACTCTTAAAACATTATCAAAATTTGGAAATAAAGGATAAATGGAGGCCTTTTAAAAGTCATATTAGAGCCCCCTACAAGCCATCTGATGCTATAGGAGATGGAGCTTTGTTTGGCTTACTGTTTACAAAAGAAGGGTAGCAGAATGTGCCACCCCAAAATATGAGTGTCTGTGTATAGGACATATCACTCCCAAATGTGCCACTATGGTATTTTGGTTAGTTTGAGCTTTAGGTACTTGAAAAACAGCAAGTGCAGGGAGAGGCTTTCTCTGCACTCCCTATATCTGCCTAAAGACAGATCCTCCAAAAGGAACTCAACTGTCATTGATCCTCTCCCGGGAGATACATCAACTAGGGCAAACTGACTCCTATCACAGGAAAGAAGACTAGAAGTCATCCCCACACCCAGACAGACTTCATCACAAACTGCCATTCCTCCCGTCTGCTCTTCCAAGGACCCAATCATCTTTCCCCCAAATAATTTACTCTCCCCTGAGAGGCCTATATCCCCCTACCCTTTCCCTATTAAGATGGTATTTAATCCTGAATTCTAAGCCACCTCAGGGAGGTACTCATTTTTCCCTGGGCATCTCCCATGTATACAAGAGGTATACATGTTAATAAACTTTTGTTTCTTTTTCTCTTGTTAATCTGTTTATTACAGGGGTCTCTGCTAAGAACTTGGAAGGGGAGAGGAATGGGGTGTCTGGCTGGTTCAGTCGGTGGATCCTGCAACTTTTGATCTCTGGGTTGTGAATTCAAGCTCCATATTGGGTGTAGAGATTACTTAAAAATACAATCTTAAAAAAAAGAAGAAGGGTAAAGGGAATATTATTTGGGTATGAATTTGCAGAAGATTGGTAACTTATCAATGATTTTTGTGCAGGTAAAGATGTAAATTTTTTTTCCAGCAGAAAAGATAACCTCAAATGTTACATTGTATTTGCCCTGGTAAGACATTAACCAGTTTGTTTGTTTTTAAAGTAACCTCTACACACAATGTGGGGCTCGAACCCACGGGCCTGAGAACAAGAGTCAAAAGCTCCACCAACTGAGCCAACCGGGTACTGCCACTAACCAGTTTTGTGACTGACTTTGCCATCTTACTCCAGCGCTCTCCCCACCTCCCCCCGCGATTATATAGCCTCTCCTATCCTTCTTTGAATCAGCTTTACTATCCTGCTAGGTTCTTCAATAAATTAGGTAAATCTTAGAACAATGCTCATTCTGTATTTATATGAAAGTCATGTTTTTCCTTTTATTGAAAATTATATTTTGACACTCTATTCTCTTTTTTGGTTTGTTTATTGCTAGTGAAAATAGAGAACTGGATAGGAGTTAACAAATGCAGCCTTACTGCTTGCCATGTAAATCCCCCCTGGTCATTACCTTTAGATTAGGCTTGTCCCAATCAGCCTCGTACTGGCCCTTTCCTTTCTTATTTCTTACAGGACTTTAAATCCTTTTCTTCTTCTTTGTCTTTTATACCCACCTCCATCCCCCGCCCCACCACCCTCACCTCTTTTCTGGAGAAAAATCCCCCCACATCGCCTTACCCCTGACTCCTAGTTTCTGAAGCTGGTACTTCCTGGAAGGGACTAGAAAGGAACACAGAGTCCTGTAGAGTCCTGTAAATTCTTTAGCCCCAAAGAAATTCATTGCATCTGCAGGGAAACTGGGAACGGGTGGTGTGAAGCTCTACCAGGTTTTACAAACAGGGTACTTTAGTTCAATCCTTGGTCAACAAAAAAGATAATATGGATGTATTTACAAACTACCATTTAGCTCACGCTTTTGTTGATTACATGACATGGAAGCATACAGAAGTTGCCAGAAAAAAAGGCACTAGAGTGGAAGAGTCACTTCTTTGAGACTTATTTGCCTTTTGGGAGATTTCCATTATTGTACAGAGATGATTTATTATGGTGTATACTAATTCTTTGTAAAGATTGAGTTGTGAAAAAGCCCTCACAAGTACCTTTTAATCTCTGAAGTCCTCTGCAGTGATAAAATTGAGATGAAGTTCCAACATCCTTTTGAAATTACAAAACTCCTTACAGGAAAAATTTTAAATTTGACAGAGGTCTTTATTTGTGAAAATGAAGATGCGCTCAAAGGATTGTTGCTTACTATTATTACTATTATTAGTATAAAATCTGCAAATTTAGGATCAGTGGTTTAAGTTAGTGTTTGTTTGTTTGTTTATTTTTTCCCCTGGAGAGGTTCTCTGTTCTTATTTAGCAGAATCTGAACTTACTCATACTTTTCCCCCTCTGCTCTTAGTTTAGCTTCTGTTTCCTCCGTGTCTTTGTCACAAACGGAAAGACTGACCAACTTATAGGGTGGCCAGAGGAATCCCCATCTTTTCCCCTTCTAGTTTATTCAGATTGTGAAGAGATGTTAATCTGACAGTCCTTACCAACAAATTATCGTCAGTAAGATACACAAAAGGCAGGCATACCACCCTTATGAAGCTTTTAATCTTGGGAATGAATGGAGTCTCTGCATAACACATGTTCATTCTACTAGAGAACAATGGCTCCCAGATATTGCAAATCCATGGACCAGTAACATTTCAAAAAATTGAGACTTGCCAACTTTTCATTTTGCCAAAAATCAAAAGCCACTCTACCTACTATCTAATACCACCATCATTCCATAAAAGAGAGGACTTTTTGGGCACAAATATAGGTAGGCATCTCTAAATAAGTAAATAAATGGAAAAGATAAATTTAACTTCATGGAAGGATTCACAGTTGTTCTTGTTTTTCCCATATCTCCATTAACTGGTGGGAACTTTGGCACGGATGAGGTTCTGTAGCAGGGTAACTGCGGATGTGGACTTTACTCACATATCCTGTGCTTGTATGTCTGACATTGGGTAAGTCATTTAACCTGTTAGCATCTGTGTTCTCATAAAATAGGGATAATAATACCTTCTTCATATGGTTGTCCTGGAAACTAAACAAGATGATGTGTAGAAAGTGCTTAATACAATGCCTCATGCAAGTAGGTGCTCAATAAATACTCATGGTTGTTACTGCTGTTTTCCCCACTGAGTTATCAGAAATAAGCCTTGAGAGTTACTTACAAGTGGATAAGTTTGGGGTGGAAACAATTTGGAAACAAAAACTTAAAACATTCTGAAGAAATGACATCTCAAGAAGATACCGAGATTTTGAGATATTGAGTACTTTTTTATGAGCTAGGAGTAGTCTCAAAGATGTTGTTGTTAAAAATTATGTTGAGTAATCCTATACGTAGAATTCACACGGAAATACCAGATCATGCAAAAGGGTAATAATTCCTATCTTTGTCTAACCCCTCCATTTAAAAAATGGGGGCATGGAAGCCCAGATCAAAAAATTCCCTTAATGTCAGTTAGAGAGAAGTAGTAGGACCAGGACTGGAGGGTGGGTTTCCTGACACCCCACTGTGCTCCCGCCCCAGACTAGGGGATGGCCGTCGCCATTGGCAAGAGAAGGAACAGCTGCTGGTGGGAAACAGGGGACCCCTGTGTCCTCTCCTTAGGATCTTTGCTATGGGCTCTGGGTCACTCTTCTGTTCTGCTGTTTGGTGCTGGGTTGGTGGTTCTTATGTCCTCTACTCTCTTTTGTGAAGGTAACATTCAACCATTTGTTAAAATATTGGCATGCGTCTCTACCAGGCCCCCCACTGCCCTGGCTACCTGGCGCCATCCGCTGTCCCCCAGGAATGCACAACCTCCCCGTGGTTCAGCCTCTGAGGGGAGGGTGCTGCCCTGCAGGGCCTGGTACTGCTGCCAGCTGGCATCTTCCAGGCAAATGTTCTAGATGCTTGTGGCTGGGCCACATCCAGCTGTTAAATGTTTTAAGTATCTCTTCTGCCCTCTGGCAACCTGTGGGAACAAAACAATAAATCCGGTTTTAGGGCCTGATAACAATGTGGACGTCAACAGATAGTGAGGAGGCAGGAAGCCCTCTGATCTTCCTCTCTTAGAAATTCTTTAAAATGATCCTGTTGGAAGGGGGCACCTGGCTGGCTCAGTCGGTAGAACACGCGACTCTTGATCTTGGGGTTGTGAGTTCAAAGCCCCGTGTGAGGTGTAGAGATTCCTTAAAAAAAAAAAAAAAAACTTAAAAAAATGATTCTGTTGGATAGTTCAATAGGGGTTCATGTTTTATTCTGCTTTCTACTGTCTTTGGGGGTAAGACCTCTGGTTTGCCAGGATAAAGGAATTTTGTCAATTTTAAAGTACACACTAGAGGGCAGTGGCCCCATGTGTAGACACCTGACAATTACCACTTTCTCTGCATTTCTCCACCCTTCCTTTGTATAGGGGAGGGGTAGAGGAGTCTTCCTCCACATCATACAAAGCTATTTATGTCTGAAGTGTTTTATGAACACAGAGCAGCTGCTTGGGAGCACCCAGTCTGTCATTCCTCGTAGTTTCTTTTCCATCCTTCTTCCAATCACTTCTCAGTGGGGCTTTAGTAGTAGACTTAGTTATTGTTCACATCGTAATGTCCTTTTTCTTTCTTTTTTTTTTTTAAGACAAGGCACAGAAAAGGTGGGAAACAAACATTCCTAATTGAGGGCAGTATGGTTTTCTATCTTTGCATCTTTGCATTTTCAGATAAAGTCATCAATTAAGAATGAAGAGAAAAATATGGTGAAGGGTCCTTGTATTTTGCATGTACAGAGGCAAAAACCATTTACCCAAGTCCGCAGAGCTGCCCCCTTGGCCATGATCACTAAGGAGAATCATGTTTCAACTGTGTTTACCTCTCCTGAGGGTTCCTAAGTAGTAGGAGGCCTGCTTGCTGAGAGAGGCGTAGCCAGTCTGTGTGATAGAGAGAGGGGGTAGGGGTGAGTGGGTTTAGAGACCGTGAAGCCACGAGGCTGTGTGTTTGCGGAGCTCTAGGGTATTAAGAGAGAAGTTCCGGCGCAGCTGATCGTGGCACGGTGTTCAAGAGGAAAGCAAAGGGACACTAAGACGTATGTCAGTGGATTATTTATGAATCTACCTTTCATGGAATCTGAGGAACCTAAATAAAGGGTTTGGTTTATTTTTAATTATTTTTGGTTGTTGTTCCTTTGAAAGGGATGACCCTCTGAGCCTGGATTCTGTGAGTCCCTTAGATTTATAAAAGTTGTAGATAGAATACATTTAGTGGGGTGTGTTTCTGAATTTGTGAGATCTACAGCAGTTGTGTTCATACATACATACATACATCTAGATCTATAAATTGTTGAAGTGTTTGAAGTGTTTGTTCACTATGTTTATTCTTAGGCACTTATGGGAGATAAGACACTCTTTTTTGCATTCACCAACTAGAGGCCTGGAGTGGGGAGAGGGAGAGGACATCTGGACCCTCATAACAGCCTTTGCTCTGCAACGCGGGGACAGGGATTCCCTCTGCATTTCTCTTGGTGTTGCTAATATTTATTGAGCATTTACTGTACACCACGTATTGTGTTAAGTGCTCGGCATGGATTATCTTGCTTAGTGCTCACAATAACCAGATGCCATACGTGTGGTTATGATCCCCGTTTAGAGATGAGGAACGTGAGGTTCAGGGAGGTTGCCCACGGTGTAACCGTGAGCATGCAGCAGGCTGAGATTTCAGTGCAGGCTGTCTGGAGGGAGGCTGCAGGTGGTGCCGTCACCAAACCATCCCTTCTCGTGACCAGATCGACAGGGTGCACTGCGGTCTCACACACCCTGAGCTGGCTACAGGCTTTCTGACCTTATTCCTTCTGAGTACAGCCAAGATACCCTGGCTGTTCTGGGGAGAGCCTGGGCCATCTCTCTCTCTCTTTCTCTCTCTCTGTCATGCACACACACACTCATTGGTTCGGTTTTCATGTCTCTGATTCGTATAAGACATTGCCACTGGAGAGTAATTAAAACCTCTGGTGGATTTATGGTGGGGCCTCCTGACATGCTTGTGTAGTTCTTTGTGCCTAGATGACAGGGAAGATTAGCATTAAATGTTGAGAGAAATGCACCTGCCACTATGCTGCAGTTAGAGGCATCTATTAAAGATGCATTTGGAACGCAGAGGCCTCCGTCTAATTTCTAGGAATAGTGCAGGCTTCCTTCAGCTCCACTTAAAACGGGGGAGAAGAAGAGTTAGTGGGGAGAGAAGTGGACCCTCATCTTCACTTGTCGGTAGATTCTTCAGGGGCCGAGGAGTAATCTCTTCACCAGTCCTGTGTCTCTTGGGTCTTTGAGGTAATTATCCTTGTGCCATGGCTGAGGGCAAAACCTGTCCCGAGAGACAGAAGCAGGCAGAAGGACTAATGTGTCCTACTATTTTTCCTGCTACTAATTGGTCACATTGGTTAAGTGTCTATTATGGGCTGGATATTCCTAGGGGGAGTCTCGCCTGCATCATCTCATCTAATCCGTAGATGGCCAGCCCCTCTTTGAAGCCTGAGCCTTTCCAGCCTTCCCCCAACTATCACTTACTGTGCCATTTGTTTCTCCGGGGGTCGGGGGAAGGCGCTGCCTGCTTGTAAGAGTGGCATTCACACAGCTCAAGGAAATACACATTGCCACTGACTAAGGCAGAAAAGGACTAGCTGACTTATGAATTATGTGTCAATTTTACTTCTACTGAGAAGGCTCATTTTGTTGTTAGTTTATAGTCCATGTTTACAGATGTCAGTATAATAGGTTTCACACTAAAATGTAATAATAATTAGTAGTAGCAATTATAATAACCCAAATGTCAACTGTCCCTTTGTCCTTCAGTTTCAGTGTCTATCTGTGCTATCTCTAATTTTGCCCTCATTGTGACCCAGAATTGGAACTCAGGGAAAAGAATCTATGGTCACAAATGAATTGGTGAGCGGGGCACCTGGCTGGCTCAGTCAGTAGGGTGTGCAACTCTTGATCTCAGGGTTGTGGGTTTGAGCCCCACGTTAGGTGTAGAGATTACTTAAAAATAAAATCTTAATGGGGTGCCTGGCTGGTTCAGTCAATGGAGCATGCGACCCTTGATCTCGGGGTGTAAGTTTGAGCCTCGTGTTGGGTGTAGAGATTACTTTAAACAAATCTTAGCAGCACCTGGGTGGCTCAGTCAGTTAAGCATCCAACTCTTGGTTTCGGCTCAGGTTGTGATCTCACAGTCCTGGGATGGAGCCCCGCATCAGGCTCTGCGCTCAGTGCAGAGTCTGCTTCAGATTCTCTCTCCCTCTCCCTCCCACTCCCTCTCTCTCTCTCTAATAAATAAATAAAATCTTTAAAAAATATCTTAAAACAACAACAACAAATGAATTGGTGAGCAACATGGGTTTTGTAAGGGATGAGGACATGGAGAGGTTTGTATCACAAGTAAATCACCCTCCACATACGCACACCTCTTCTTAAGCAAGAAGTTTAAGAGTCCATATTAGATACTTATGTGTTCTGCAGACCCTCCCTGTCTCAGATCTGAGGCTTTTCTCTCTATATTCTATACCCTTCTCCCTAGCAGTGCCCCTGCCCACTCTTCCCTATGTCCTTCTCCTTCACAGGAGGGATGCAAATTCCTCTCCTGATATTGTATGTTGTAGTTTAGAAACCATTTTTTGTTACTAAATACATTTTTAGCATCTTATGCTTCCACCCTTTGTGCTTTATCAAAGTATTCCTTTCAAAGAAACTCTACTTACAAGAAATTCTAGGGGAATAAAATTTTTGTTTCATTATAGAAAAAGGCCTTATTAGGACAGGATTCTGAAATGAAGGACCATCTACAGAATCTTGACTGTAAATGGTGTGACATCGCCCACCCCAATTCAGACATCTTACGTTTAACAGTACATGAAGGGGTTCATTAGCATGGGAATTTATGAAGATGATAGAGTTTTGGGAGTAACTGAATCCATATTTTGTAGTGAAAACCACAAGAA